TTCATGTTAGACAATCATCTGCTGAGACTGTGTTGGGGTTAGAAAGGGGAGAGAGGGAGATGGATGGAGATAAACGACAACATCAGTACATACAGACATCTCAGTTTCTCATGTCCAGCATTAGGAGGTCTCTGTACTCAGTAAAAACTTAGATTTTTATAAACCTGCTGCTTACACCACCCACACCACCTACCAAGCGCCAAACAATATGTACAAAGTTAGCAAGTAGCAAGTGAAGCACATTGAATTTATATTGCTACAGACAACGTGCCTCCATCTCCTTCCATGGTGAGATTTGAATTGCCTCAGTAGATATTGGCATACTGCACTGTGGGAATGTGCTTCCACCAACCAAATCATGCAAACCCACTGGAGAGACATGAATTAAAACACATTTTTAGCTTGAAACTTCCTCAAAACTCTGGGAAACTTTTAAAACTTTTGCAGCTAAAGGGCAATACATTTCTTAACAGGAGGATTTAATAGACGATTGGGTGTAAGACACTCAGACCTACTGAAATACAACTTCTGGTGACAGCTTATGTTGCTTCATGAGGCAAGAGTTGTCCACACACAAACCACGTCAGTTTAAATATTGAAAATATGTCAGTGTGCTTGGGTTTTCTTTTGTTTCCCAAAGATTAACAACATATATGGAAGGTAAACCAGGGTCCCCTTTAGTCTTAAACGGAACAAGCTACAACATTGACCAACATGGAGGTACTGCAGGATCACTTCAAGTCAGAGAAGTACAGTCAAAACAGTGACTTACATTCAGCAGGTCCAAACATAAACAGGTAGTTAATCCATGAGGGGGGGCTCAGAGTGGTAGATGGTGAACTGGCAGACATATTGGAAGTCAGAGGAGGCCTCTAAGGAGCTAATTGAGGTAACTTGACAAGGTGTGGTGGGAGGAGCTTAATCAGGTAACAGGGAAATTGTTAAAAATTCTGGGGAAATCTGGTGGACAGGAGGGTGATGACACCATCTGGAGATATTTCAGAAGACTGATGGGAAGAAGGGCGTGTCCAGAGAGGTGATTTGGTTTTGAACCAGAGACCTAGCCACATGGTCTCCTTCTATTTCCATTTTAAACTAGAAATTGAAGAACAAAGTGGCCAATTTTTTTTTTTTTTTTTTCAGTTTTTTAAGTCAAGCAGAAAAAGCAAGCTCAATTTTTGTGTTTTCCATATCCCATTAATCATTTTACATTTTGGTTAGACAGTTAAAAGGCATCTAGACATCAGGGGAAGTGACAAATTCATAATTTCAGAATAAAAGACAAAAGGATCATAAAATTTATGACGATAAGATCAGAAGCAGGTATCAGGCAAGAAGCCAAAGGGGTTTTCTAACACAAAGTAAAATAAAAGATACTTCATTTCTGGATTATGAATGAATAATGGTCTGGTACCAAGACCATTAGTCTTCATAGGGTTTTTTATGTTCACTTCTTTTCTTGGTAGGTATTCTCAATGAATCTACAGCAAATGGGTCCATTAATGAGTAATTTGCTAGTGTTCATGTCAGCTCAGCTTTTGTTGTTTGTTGTCCTTCAAACATGTAGTTTTATTCAACCATGTCTATAGCAGGTACTTCCTCTGTTTACTGATGCCAAGCTCTCTGGATAACTTTATAAAAGCTGTCACGTGCAACATACTTGCAGCTTTCCGGTCTGATAACTAGTATATCAAGCTAATTGTCTTGTCAGGTTAAATACATTAATAAAAGAGCTGCATCCCTCCTTGGATCTGACAAATGGATGGAGAGACTTCCTCCCAGCAGAGGTCCTGGGGGAATTAAGATCAATCCAATTCAGTAATTGTCTGATGATAAATGATAAGCTGTGTGCACTCTATTAGGATTAGTCCCAGTGACTTATATGATTCCGCACGAACCAACAAACAGATAAATCAAGAAGTTTTTTTTTTCTTTTTTTTCCTTCCACATTGTTAACTCAGAATTGGAATAAAGACATCCTTATTTCTTTCATACCACATCCTCCCTCATTTTAAGTCTATGCTTTTGGCTTTCACTTTTATTTAATGTTTATTATCCCCACTGTTTGGAAATACCTGTGTTTTATTCTTGGGATGAAAGGTAATAAGCAGAGCAAATTGCAAAAAGAAAATCACCACAAATAAGAAAAACAATCTACAACCATCTTCACCTTAGTTCCCTCTAAAGTTGTAATCCTCTTGGTACGGTCAAAAAAGAGGCTGCCTCCCCTGCAAGAGTGTAATTGTACCCGCACAGAGTGAGTTTAATCAAATTAACAAAATGAAGAACATCTTTTATCCAAACCTCGTGGGATTGAGGAGAGGATGATTTCCAACCGAGTACTGTCAGTAGTCTGGCCAGCAGGGTCAAAAAAAGGCCGTCAGGATCGCTTTAATTTCAGTAAGAGTCAGATCACCCTCTCTAATACTGACTGGCAGAGTGCTGTCAATGCAGCAGGTCTGCATTCAATAACAATGACCTTTGGGTGTTTTGTGTAGAA